TGCCAAAGATTCTGATCCTGGATTGCAATGGCTATTAAGTTAAACGCTTAATGGTTTACCATTCAGAGAAGGGGCAGGCATTGACAGGTTATTCCCATGAACATCAGCACAGCATTTGACATTCAAATAACAGAGCATGGAGGAGGAAAGTATTCCTTCAACAGTGGTTCCCTCTGCATGCCACTCCTGGCTGAAGAGCATTTTGTGCTAAAGAAAATTTCACCTTCAAAAGATTACCAACCTTGGATAGCTGCCCATGTCTTTAACCTTGATAATTTCTCAGGTGCATTATCTACCACCCAACACGACCTCATTGATTCATTCCATGAGTCATTGAGCAAAGATGCAATTCAGTAATGGAGCAAAATAAGACTTACCGCCTACACTATATCCACACCCAACTCAAGGCTGCAACTGATGAGAATGCACCATCAGCAGTTCAAAGAATTTTGGCATGGCTACAACAATATTGCGGATTAATATGAGACAAAGTGCTGGCCTTGTGATTATAACACAGTGTGGAGCTGGAGGATCACAGCAGGCCAGGCAGCATCAGGGGAGCAGGAAAGTTGACGTTTCGGGTCAGGACCCTTCTTCAGAAATGGGGAAGGGGGAAGGGAGCTCGGAAATAAATAGAGAGAGGAGGAGTGGGGCTGTGGAAGGTAGGTGGGATGGTGATAGGTGAATGCAGGTAGGCAGTGGTAGGGCTTGGTCTGTGAGGTGGCAGGAGCTGATAGGTGGGAGTGAAGATGGACAGGTTGTGTCAGGTCAAGAAGGAGGGGATGAGAGGAGGGTTGGGAGATTTTGAAATTGGTAAAATCCACATTTAGGCCATTGGGCTGTAGGCTCCTGAGGCGGAATATGAGGTGCTGCTCCTCCAGTTTCCGGGTGGCGTCATTGTGACATTGGAGAAGGTCCACGATGAACATGTCACCCAGGGAGTTAGAGGGGGAGTTGAAATGGTTTGCAACTGGAAGGTGTTGTTTGTCGCAAACAGAGCGCAGGTGCTGTACAAAGTAGTCTCCCAGCCTCTGCTTGGACACACCGATGTAGAGGAGGCCACATCGAGAGCAGCGGATGCAGTAGACCACATTGATGAATGTGCAGGTGAACCCCTGTCTGATGTGAAAGGTTTGTTTGGTTCTTTGAATGGAGGTGTAGGGGCATGTCTAGCACTTCCTGCGTTTGCAGGGAAAGGCTGGGGAGGGAAATATATCTTTGGCTGTGGGGTCGGATTGTATGTGGCAGAAGTGGTGGAGAATGATACTTTGAATATGGAAGTAACCCATCCCTATCTGCCATTTGTAGGGACTGCGCTCTCTGCGACTCCCTCATCTGCTCCACACTCCCCACTAGTCCCACCACCCCTGGCACCTTTCCCTGCAACCACAGGAAGTGCTATACATGCCCCTACACCTCCCCCCTCACCTCCATTCAAGGCACCAAATAAACCTTCCACAACCTTGCATGGTTCACCTGCACATCCGTCAATGTGGTCTATTGCATCCGCTGCTCTTGATGTGGTCTCCTCTACATCAGTGAGACCAAGCAGAGGCTCGGAGACCGCTTTGTAGAGCACCTACGCTCTGTTCGTGACAAACGACAACACCTTCCGGTCGTGAACCATTTCAACTCCCTCTCCCACTCCCTGGGTGACATGTCCATTCTGGGCCTCCTCCAGTGTCACAATGACGCCACTCGCAAACTGGAGGAGCAGCACCTCGGGAGACTACAGCCCAATGGCCTAAATGTGGATTTTACCAATTTCAAAATCTCCTCATCCCATGACCAACCCTCCCTCTCATCCCCGCCTCCTTGACACAACCTGTCCATCTTGTCTCCCAACTATCTGCCCCACCCATCCCACTGACCAATCCCCACCACTGCCTACCTGCACTCACCTATCACCATCCCACCTACCTTCCCCTGCCCCATCCCTCCTCTCTCTATTTATTTCTGAGCTTCCTTCCCACTCCCCACTTCTGAAGAAGGGCCCTGACCCGAAACGTAAACTTTCCTGCTCCTCTGATGGTGCCTGGCCTGCTGTGTTCCTCCAGCTCCACACTATGTTATCTCTGACTCCAGCATCGGCAGTTCTTACTATCTGTGGCCTTGTGATTGAGTAATTTGTGGGGGATATTGTGGCCTGAGTGTGTCAGTGTCAAAAGAGAGTCTCACAAAGCTGTCCTTGGGCTATGGAGGCCAAGTCATTGAGTATATTTAAGACAGAGATAGATAGATAGATTCTTGACTGTCAAGGGGATCAGGGATTATGGGGAGAAAGTGGGAGATCGGGGTTGAGAAATTCATCCGCCATGATTGAATGGTGGAGCAGACTCAATGGGCCGAACGGCCTAACTTCAGCTCCTATGTCTTATGGTTTTATTGTCTTATTTCCTTAAAAGTGAAATCTTCACCTGTTTTGTGGGAAGATGGCTTTGGTCAAGTGAATGAGATAATTTGCTAAAATCCCATGAAGAGAAATGCCACAAGGAGCCTGATTTAACATTGATTTCTATGTTACATTTGTTACGTTTAAACTTGTTATGACCGTGGCCCATATTTTCCAATGGCCAGTTGTTATTCCAGTTTAGAGTAGAGTTGCACATGGAGACCTGGAGACAGTAAAGACTGCAGAAGCTGGAAGCTAGAGTCAATAAATGTGGAGTCGGAAAAGCACAGCAAGTCAGACAGCATTTGGACTGAAATGTTGACTTTCCTGCTCCTCAGCTGCTATCTGACCTGCTTTGCTTTTCCAGCTCCACATTTATTGAGACTTGCATGTGGAGACCCTGTGAAATGTTCATCATACCAGACTCTCCAGGAATTGCCTGGGAAGTTAATTATCCTGGGCAATTACCCTATGTATGGAATCCTCCAAACGATCCGTTTAAAGTTCTGATGGAATGAAGTAAATAGTTACTCAAGAAAAGTTAGACTAATAACTGCAAAGTCTAACTCCCAAGTAACTATTCATCTGATGCCATACTTAGCTCTCACAACTACATGTCCCCCCAGACCCTTCACGTTCCTGTCTTTCCACAGAATCCAGTAATTTCCACCCCCCAAACCCCCAAACCTCCACCCCTTCTCGGTTTGCATTCCCTGACAGCTCTGCAGCAAGAGAGAATGGAAAATATGAAGTAGTCCTGATCAAAATCTCCTATCAGAAATGTGGAGCTCTGTTCTTTCATAAGAAAAGGGCAGAGGGGCAGTCTGCATGAGATTGCCTCTCCTCAGGTAATCCAGCCATATGGGAATGCAATACCATCTTTTAAGTGAGGTGGAGTTGACATAGAATATTAGCCATGTAATTTTGAATGACCGAGCAGACTCAAACGACCCTTTAGTCATTTCCTGTTCTTGTGTTCCATGTATGCAGTATCTCTGAAGCATCTTTTTTTAATCTTGGTTAGATTCTTTCGTTGGGTGGGTTTGATAGTACAGATCCAGATTCAGTTTTAATAGCATTTTGAGGTTTTTTTGTTCCCAATCAAAAGAGTTGCTTTCCAACCTTTTATAAATCAGTGCTATTCCCTCATGTCCACCAGCCCAGCCTCATCTGTTATCCAGCTCTGTCTGTACTTCCGTACAGACTGTCTTCCTTCCATGAACATCACAATTTCTATTAGTACAGCTGAAGACTATTAAATTGCTCTAGTTGAAATCAATGGTTCCACATTAGATCACTTCCATTAAATGCAGAGGCTAAACAAGTCATCTGCTGCGAAGATTTATGTGTTGGACTCCAGTGTTTTGCTGCATTAACAACTTCTTGTTAACACTAATAGCAGAAGCATTTGTGTCTGTGTGTTTGTGTGTGTTGTTACATTCTTTTAAGAATAGGTTTCACTTGGGAATTAATTGTAATGAAAGTGGGGAGAAAAAATTCTTTACATAACATAATTTTCCCATTCATTAAATCCTGTGAACTGTTTTCCTAGCATAGTGTCTGTCTTGACACAAAATGTATCCGGAGTATTTTTGTCAACTCCACCTGGATTAAAAGTCTAGAATTATAATTATCCCATTTTAAATCACAGGGAAAATAATAGTATCACCCTCAACCTGTTTAAAGTAACTTCTGCTGATTTGTGATTTTGCGTAGGAGGTATCTCCTTAATTTTCTGATGCAAGAGACCCCCAGTTGGGAGGTGTTGAACTGTAGAGCTCCCTTTCAAGATTAGGCTCTCATTAAACCTGCAAAGGGTTGTTTTTCCAATTTCCAGCCATTACCTTTGATTGGAATAGCTCCACACAGATGCTTTACTGTAACAAATTAGTGACTGTACAGTCACTGAACCTAGCATCTAATAAATTATGGCGGGAACCCAAAGCTGGAAGGAATTTCCTCCAGCTACATCCCAGAAGCACACATGGAAGCAATGAAGTCAACTTGCTTGGATGAGTTTTGCCTGTGGGAGATCAGAAAATTGAACACACTCTTCTCTTTTAAGTCAACTCAACCCACGGGACACATTTTGGGTTTGTGTCCAGTGTTTTTGTTTCCTGGGCAACTTCACACATTAACTTGGGTAATTGCTGACAGAAATGTGGTATTTTCTGAAGCTGTTTAGTGCAGCAATGATGAGGCGTAGGGAAGGGTAATGACCACATTAACCATGCATAATTTATGATACGTTAATTGTTGCCACATATCCCATCCCAGAATGGCAGTTCTCTGCCGTAGGTCATATTTGAAGCAATCCAATTTCTCTGGTTTTAATGATCTCTGCTCCTAGTAATGGTCAATGTAACGTAAATCCTGTTAGACTCCTGTTCCATGTAACATCACATCCATCACAGAAATCATAAATCTCTGTTTTACAAAAGAAAAATCATTAACTGGATGCATTTGAAAGCATTCAGTGTTTGATAAGCAACCAACAGATGAAATTAATGAAACCTGTAGCTAATGTGGTGAAATTATCCATTGGGGCATTTCTGCTTGACTGACTTTGTAAACTTTCAATTGTGTGTTTATTCATTCTCAACTACAGGTACAGCTCTATTTTTCATGCCTGCCAGAAGACAAGGTCCCTTATGTCAACAGTCCTGGAGAGAAACACAGAATTAAGCAGCTTCTGTATCAACTACCACCGCATGATAATGAGGTAATAAAACTCATGTTTTAAAAAAACACAAGTTCAAATCTTGCATACCATGTATTTGGCACTCATAGAGATTGGTGAGAAACTAAATTGCTTTCTGTCATCTTTTTACCTCATTGATTAACCAGAATTTTGTGTAAAATGTTTAAAATTGTCACAGGAATGGTAGTTAATCCCCAAAACCACAACATGTGTATCTGTAAACTTTGAATTATTTATCTATTTGTTCTGAAGCAAACATTCCTTGTGCTTTTATTAGTGAGCATTCTCTTCCTCTCATTTACATTTGTTGTATTTCACATTACTTTCTTAACACTAGTCACTTTTATGCTGTTTGCTGTCATGTTGTAACTGTCGTCATGTGCTTAAAATTCCAAACATTATTATAGGCAAAGATGGAGAAACAGACTGCACTGTAGCAGAGAAATTCTGGGGCTTGAAGGAGGCATTGTGTTCCTGTGAACTTGTTGTCAGAAAGGAGTGCCCTTTCTTGAATAAATAAGCTACAGCTCATGTTTTAATCCAGCCTGCGATTCACATTTACAAAAGGCTTTGTAGTAAAACAGATATGTGCTTTCTGGCCAGGGGTTTAAGTTGTAAAGGGCTGCTAACAATTATCCCTTTCTATTTAAAGTCTATCTTCTTTATTCATTTAAGTGTCGTTTGGTTGGAGCTCTTCGCCTTTCTTTAAAATCCAGCTCTTGTCTTGCTGTCTGTATTAGCCCAGCTAATATTCTAAAAAGTGCATTCACATCTCACATGTCTCCTTTTAATCAGAAACTGCTGTTGGACTAATATCACTGCATAAATTCTCCATTCAATCCACCTTGAGTTTCTAAGTAGGCATTAGTAACCTAATCTACTAAGTGTAAGAAGCACCTTAGTAATATTCATACTGTATAAATTTTGGAAGCATTGTCACAACGTGCCTTTTGTGTACAGAGCTATAAAAACACACAATTAATCATAAAGTATAGAGGAGATAGGATTTCCACTAGTTACTTTGTGTTAGTGCTGTAAACAATAATGGGAAGATTTCCTCTGTCCACAATCTCCATTTAACAAATGATTTTATTGAGAGTTGTGATCAGAGGACACTTCCTTGTGAGACTGAAATGCTCAGCACAAATGAAAGTGGCAGCACAGTTGCTCAGTGGGTTAGCCCCGCTGCCTCACAGCACTAAGGACCCAGGTTCAATTCCAGCCTTGGGTGACTGTCTATGTGGAGTTTGCACATTCTCCCTGTGTCTGCGTGGGTTTCCTCTGGGTGCTCCGGTTTCCTCCCACAGTCCAAAGATGTGCAGGTTAGGTGGATTGGCCATGCTAAATTGCCCATAGTGTCCAGGGATGTGCAGGTTAGGTGGATTGGCCATGCTAAATTGCCCATAGTGTCCAGGGATGTATAGGTCAGGTGGATTAGCCATGGGAAGTGCAGGGATAGGGTGGGTCTGGGTGGGATGCTCTTCAGAGGATTGGTGTCGATGCAGTGGGCCAAATGGCCTGCCCCCATACTAGGGATTCCATGAAACTCTCTAATAATAGCAACTTTTACTTTGAAAATAAAATTTTGTCTATTTTTCGCAGTGGAATTATACATTCCCACTTCTACAGCAAACTGTTCACATAACTCGTCCAGTTTTTTTTCCTCCAATCTTGACCTGGCATGTGATTCCAGTGTCCTTTTTCTCTCGTATGTACTAAGCCATTCTTCCTGTGTGAAATTAGCTTTACGCAATGTTGGTTGGCAGGTTTGTGTACTGTTTGGAGGGCATTAGAGCCAACCCTATTCCCGTTATTCCTGGACCACACTTCACCAGATGTCACAGGATACGGGTCAGAATTGGAACCCTGTTTAGTTTGGTTTTCCTTTCTAGCCCTGGATGCTGAGGCCAATTGCAGTCACTCATCAATAAACCAGCTGGGAGCAGTTGACTTACCGCAGGTTTGGGGATTGAAGCTGGAATCTCTGCAGCAGTTAACTTCCACACCAAGCTTTTACAATTGGAAAGTGAACAAGTGAGTTTAACATTGTACAGATTGAAAAGCTGAAGGATTTAGTTTGATAGACCATCAGTATGGAATGCTGGACATTACTCCATTGAGGCTTTTGCCCAACCTGTCCATGTCGCCCAGTTTTCACAATTAATCCAGTCCCATTTGCCTACGTTTGGTCCATATCCCTCCATACCTATCTCATCCATGTACCTACCAATAAGCTCTGTTGAGAGTGCGGAGTGGAATTGGAGCACTTTAACACAGGAAATTTGAGAGTTCTCTGCAGACCGTTATGCATATTTCATGATTTACAATTCAGAGTCACACCAGCAGAATCATGAAAAGCGTCTTTTTGCTCCATATTTTGGCTGCAGGAGAGAAAAGTTAAAAGCTAGGTACTAGATAACCCCTGAACCTCTAAGCCAGGCAGTTTTCTCAGGACAATGGCTGCCTTATCTCAGTGGTGGTCTCCATGCAATTGGAATTGTAACCACATACTCAACATGTGTGAGCAGATTTTTATACTCATTCTGTTGGCAAGTCTGTGTTGAAATGTGGTGAATCTTTATTTCAGATGGTCTATTGCTCATGAAACCAACACGTTCATTTTCGTAGTCATGCATGATCTCCATCACCGGTACTGATGTTTCTTCCTCGGAAGATACAGGAATGAAGTGTTCTGTTTGAACGTGTATCTTTTGCAACTGATATCTGGTTTGAGTCTGTCATCACTGTCTATTCACCAAGCCACGATGCAGTCTGAATTACATTAGATATGGTTTCATGAATTAACCCAACTGGGGTATACTGCTCAATAGCTATCTCAACACTTAAGTTTTGGCAAAATCTTTATGGATTTTTGCAGGCTGAACTCTCTTCACTGCAAATAAGAGCGGAAACTATTTTCACAACCCTGCATTGTCGCAGGTTTCCACCTTGCTGATAGTATTGAACAAATTTCTTGAATGGATTCTATCTTCTGTTTGAGTCCTGCCGTGAGTCTAGGAAGCCTATGAAATTTCTCACTGATTGTTCGGTGACCCAAGATTCTTTGACCCATTGTTCCAAAACTGGCAGTTTCTTGAATTTACTTAATTTGACTCTTCCTGCCATTTAGTCATAGAGGTTTACAGCATGGAAGTAGGCCCTTTGGCCCAACTTGTCCACGTTGCCCAGTTTTCACGATTAATCCAGTCCCATTTGCTTACGTTCGTCCATATCTCTCCATACCTATCTCATCCATGTACCTGCCCAAATGTGTACTTGCCTCCACCGCTACCCCTGGCAGCCTGTTCAAGACACTCATCACCCTCTGTGTAAAAAAACTACCCTGGACCATTTTCTATCTCTCCCCTCTTACCTTAAACTTATGCCCTTTGGTTTTAGACTCCTCTACCATGGGCAAAAGCTGTTGGCTATTTATCTTATCTGTGCCTCGCAAGATTTTATACACCCCTCAGTCTCCTACACTCCAGGGGACAAAGGTCCCAGCCTATCTATCCTCTCCTTATAACTCAAACCTTCCAGTCCAGGTAACATCCTAGTAAATCTTTTCTGCATTCTTTCTACTTTAAGATTCAGTTCAAAAATGCATTTCTGTTCAAGGGTGGGAATTGTTGTTTGTGATGTATTTGAATTTGATAGCCCTTGTATTGCATAGATTTAATTTTAAGTGCTATACTTCCTGGACAATGTAGTTGCACCGCTGCAACAGTGTTTCTTCAACCAAGGTACACTCTCTGATGTACAGTGATCCACACCTTTGTATCAAGTTTAAAATTTGTGAGATGCCCATTGACATAAACCTTTACTTATTCTCCTCAGAATACTTTGTGTCTTTTCTTCTAGTGTTGGTTGCTTAGTCTTATTAACTTCTTTATTGGGGTGGCTATTTGTCAACTTGTCGCTCTGCAGCTATATCCTACTTTGCCACATTTTCTAAAAGTGGTCTATTGTTTTATGGATGAAGCATTTTTTTAAATAATTGTGCACTCCTCATGTCTATGGAGCTTCCTTGTTACGAAGTACTGACATTGATTTTTAATATCTACTGTCTGTCCTCATTTCTGAACTGGCTTCTGTGTATGTATTTAGGGGCTGTATGCGTTAAGAACTGAATGGATTATGCTGACCGCTAAGTTTGACCTTCTCGTGTTAGGATTGATCTGTGCTGTTGCTGTACTTGTGCTTCACTCATTATCTGAATAGCTTTCTCTAGAAGCAACTTTTCTTTTGGTTGTAATAAATCTGACAAAGACTCATCAACAATTCCAATATCAATTCTCTCTCTTATGCATTCTGATTTTAATGTTCCACGGTCACATTTTCCACTAATGTGTCATCATTTAAGGAAATTATCTGGGGACTCCCCCTCATTCCCCTTCCTCTTCTATTAAATCTGTACGAGCTACAAATCTTCTTGAAAACTTTAAACACCTATGGGCGTAACACCCTCAAACTGGTCCGCAGATGGGAAACAAATGCCATCTGACTGAGCACGACCCACGAGCAACTATACTTCCTGCACAAATGCCTCAGAAAGCAGGTACTGCCACAAAGCTTAAGGTATAAACCACTAGTCAACTATCAACAGGCACAGAGAACAGCTGAACAGAACGGCCGCAGAATGATCAGGGTTATGATCAACAATGCCCACAACCTCCTCCACAAATATGAGCGGGAAATTGTGCGCCAAAAAACTCTTTACTCCAACACAGCCGACCAGGAATGGACATTCACACTGGAACAAGCCATCACCATACAACAACAAAGGACCAGAACAAAGAAAAGAATAGCCCTTCAAGAAAAACTGTCCAAAATCACCCATATCAAAGACATGGACAACTCAGATTCATAGATTAAAAACATCTCAGACCAACCACTTACAGACACTGAGAAGACCATCGGTATGAGGACTGAATTATAGTTACAGAGACACCAAAAAGACTGACTTCCTGGCTGCGCTGGAACCAACACTAAAGAACAGTGGACTCACGGAAGAAGTACAA